CCTGACCAAAAAAAATAGTCACCACCTGGTTTTATCTAAGCAAACAGAAATAGGTGAGAGCCCTCCATTGGATAATTACTGCAGGGATTAATATGTTTTTCTGTGGGCAACAAGTTATTGAACCCTAACTGATGCAGTAAGTAGCTTCTCATTTCTTACACAACCATGTCAGAAGACAGATCCTGTGGTCCTGGAAAAGATGTAACTCTGTTTCAGAACGGGTCATAGTATTGGCCTGCATCAAGAAAACAACTAAGGAGATTGCTGAAACTACTAAAATTGGGTTAAGAATCGTCCAACGCATTATTAAAACCTGGAATGATAGTGGCCAAACATCCATGTAGCCTTAAGAAAACGGCTCATCAGTGAGGCTAAACAGACACAAAAAAAAACCAAACACTTCAATTTATTGGGGAGCATAAAGATTGGACTCTGGAGCAATGGAAAAAAAGGTCATGTGGTCTGATGAGTCCAGGTTAACCCTGTCCCAGAGTAATGGGTGCATATGTGTGAGAAGAGAGGTGGATGAAGTGATGCACCCATCATGCCTAGTGCCTACTGTACAAGCCTATGGGGGCAGTGTTATGATCTGGGGTTGCTTCAGTTGGTCACCTCTGGGTTCAGCAATGTTATGTGCCCCAAAAAACAAGCTGCCTTCCTGAAAATACTGCTTTTCCATCAATGGATTTTTTTCCTCAGGTCACGACCATATTTTAAAGAGGACAATGCCAGGAATTATCAGGCTCAAATTGTGAAGGAGTGGTTCAGGGAGCATGAGACATCATTTTTACATATGGATTGGCCACCACAGAGTCCAGGCCTTAAACCCCCCATTGAGAATCTTCGGGATGTGCTGGAGAAGACTTTACACAGTGCTCAGACTCTCCCATCATCATTACAAAAATGAATGTGACTCTGGACGGAAGTAAATATTGTGACATTGCAGAGAAAGTGCATCTCTATGCCTGGGAATGGAGGAGGTGCTATTTTATTTTAGGAGGCTCAACAGTTGAGAAATAAATGTTTTCCAGTTAGGGTTTCTATATACTTATAGCAATGCCCATTAGTGCTCGACTTAAAGCAGAACTCCGGTCAGCAGGGATATATATTTTATTACTTCTCTCCGACTTATGTTCCCACCCCACGTCTGTATGTGAGAGACCGCAAGGAGTCAGCAGTGGGTGTGTTTGGGAATCCCTCTGCTGCTTCTC